CCTCAGCCTCCCATAGTGCTGGGATTACAGGCTTGAGCCACCGCGCCCGGCTATTTTTTGTTTTTATTTATTATTTTTTGAGACAAGAGTCTCGCTGTGTCGCCCAGGCTGGAGTGCAATGGCGCCATCTCAGCTCACTGCAACTTCTGCCTCCCGGGTTCAAGCGATTCTCCTGCCTCAGCCTCCCCAATAGCTGGCATTACAGGCATGTGCCACCACGCCCAGCTAATTTTGTGTATTTTTAGTAGAGACGGGATTTCACCGTGTTGGCCAGAATGGTCTCCATCTCTTGACCTTGTGATCCACCCGCCTCAGCCTCCCAAAGTGCTGGGATTACAGGTGTGAACCACTGTACCCGGCTTGCTAATTTTTTTTTTTTCTTTTTTTTAAAGACGGGGTTTCACCATGTTTGTCAGGCTGGTCTTGAACTCCCGACCTCAGGTGATCCGCCCACCTTGGCCTCCAAGGTGCTTGGATTACAGGCGTGAGCCACGACGCCCGGCCTTTTTTTTTTTTTTTTTTTTAGTGTCTTGGAGTCTCCCTGCGTTGCCCAGGCTGGTCTCGAACTCCTGGGCACTAGCGATCCTCCCGCGCCGGCCTCCGGGTGCTGGGATTAGGCGTGAGAGCCTCCAACCCCGGCCGAGTCCCTTTAACATGTGCCGCGTTCGGGCGGCAAGCTGGCTGTCCAGGGCAGAATCTGGCCCTTGGTCGTTTTCTGGGAACCTCATGGTGTTGAAGAGATGGAAACGTGGCTGGCATTGGAAAAGCTCCCTCCCCCAGACACAGGACGCCCCTGAACCCCTGAGGCCTCAGCTCCAGGCAGCTTCACCAAGTGGGCTGGTTCCTGGGGTCATCTGGGAGGTGAAGGAGGGCAGGCCCCAGTGGGGGTGCTCAGGAACAGTCCTGCCCAGCACAAGGGCCTCCATCTGGGCCTTGCAGGGGAACGGAAGGGCCACACTGTCCCGTCGTGGGCAGGCGGGCACTGCGTCTCACTGCAGAGCATGGAAGGGGGTCGGTCAGAACACAGTGGGGCTCCCGCTTCCACTCACCCCTGGGTGTGCTGGGCAGGGGTGCGGGGTGCAGCTGGAGCTTGGGGAGACGCCAGAAGAAGAACACACTACAGGACACAGCGTTTTCTGTTAAAAGTCAGAAGTGTTTTGTCTTGTTTTAATATCTCATCAGCTTTACAGGGTTACAATCGTCTTAAATATTTCTGAAGTTTAAATACAATCTGCATAATAATGTTATTATAAAATGTAAACTTTCAGTGATCTTTTAAATTTCAACATCACACCCTTTTTTTGGTCTTTTTCTTTCTTTTTTTTTTTTTTTTTTTTACATTTTTTCCTTTTAATACCTGAATGTTCTGCAAAAACTGAAATTGTTACAGCCCCCCCAACCCCGAGGCCAGGGCGAGGCAGGCTGGGCCCAGTCAGAGGTAGAGAGTAGTTTTATATGTTTTAAAAAATTTTTTTTAAAGTTTACTTTTTTTTTTTTTTTTTCCTCCTATTACCTGAGTTTCAGGCGTGGTCCCCACGCCGTCTGACAAACCCCAGAGAAACTGAAATTTCACACGTCATGAATGAAAGGCTGAGTTTACATTTGCCAAGAAAAAAAAATGCAAAAGCAAAATGAGGGGAAAAAAGGTACAACATGGGTAAAAAAAAAATGGTAAAAGGAAGGAGATTGGACTGGACAGATTCCTGACCCTAGCGACGACCCCGGCCGCCCCCAGGGCCCTGTGCCCACCCCCTAGCCTGTCCTGATCGCCACTTACAGGTCCCACTTACAGGTTCCGGAAGCCGCCTGCCCCCCAACATCTCAGAGTAGGGGGAGCCCCCTTCGCCCTGAGTGTGGGTCCCCGCCCGGACCGCAGTGAGGCCTCACAGTCCCCAGTGAACTGAAACCCGCCCAGGGTCCTCCAGGCTGAGGGAGCTGCCCGACTCCATCCCAGTCTGCATAGGGAGGGGGTGCCGAGCTGCACCCCCCGAAAGCCACCCTGACTTTAAACCCCCACCAACAGGCGGTGGCGGGCGATGGGCAACGGCCGGGGTTGAACGGGGCCACCTGAGGCAGGGAGGACCCTCCGGAGACCCCGGCTTCCTGCCCACTATCCCAGGAACAGGCCCCCTAGACCCTTGCGACCCCCTCACACTTCCACGGCCAGCACAGCCACTGCCTTTGGCCACTTCCTTCCTACGGAGCCAGCCAGGCAACTGGGACCCAGCCCGAGACCATGCCCCACCTGTCCCTACAATCCTCGGAGTTAACAGCAGACCCAAGTCCCCTGAGTTAGAATCCAGACCCCCCCCTCTGCCGGGAGGCCAGATCACCCATACAGACACGACACAGGATTCCCGACACACACACACACGCAGACCGAGGCCCAGCCCCTCCCCAGGAATGAGGCGGGCGGGTGCAAGGGGACCCCGGGGCCCTCCAGGGCCACCAGACGCAGCGGCAGCCAGGCCCCAGTGGCTATGGCAGAACCCGGTGCACAGGAGGTGGGGGAGAGGCACCCCAGGGGCTCAGATTTTGGCATCAGTCAGACCTGAGGTAGACAGATAGGCAGCAGGCGTGTCCCCCATTGCGGGGCCCAGAGGTGGTTTGGGGGTCCCAGGGGAGGAGCCCTGGAGGCAGGGTGGGGAGGGGGACGGAGTCCAGACAGTTCCCCTAGCTCGGGGCCCAGAGATGGGGGTCCCGGGAGGGGGAGAGACGCGGACAGAGTCCAGACAGTTCCCCAGGGCGGGGCCCAGGCATGGGACAGGGGTCCAGGGTTGTGGGGGGAACAGATGTGGACAGAGTCCAGGCGGTTCTGTCAGTGGGTTTTGGGGTGAAGACACCCCCTTCCCAGGGTGATTGTGCTGCTACGGTGGCAGCCCCGGGAACGGGGCAGGGAGAACCTAGATGCCCACCACCCCCTATTGGAAAGGGGGGCATGTCAACGGCCCTGAGATCTAAGAAGAAAGTGGGGTCCCTTCCCAAAGACACAAGAAAGTCAAAGTCCCTTCCCACAACCCGACGGGAAAGTGAACCTAGAGTCTGGGGCTCAGAAGCCACCCCAGCCCCCTGCAGGGGTCGTCAAGGCAATGGAGGGGGTGGTCGGGAGTCAGGGGAGCTGGGGCGTCTCCTTTCTCACTGACCCCCCCATGCCGGTGGCCTAACAGGGCTCCCAGGGCCCAATTAGAGACCCAGGCTTACCCTGGGAATAGCTGAGTCAATCCCCACCCCAAGAGAAATGAAAGCCCAGGGATCCCGGGTAGGATGCAACAGCCCGCCCGACGCCACGCAGGTCCAAGAAAGGAACCCAGACCCTGCCTGCCTTTCTGCTCCAGCAGCTCCAGATAAAGTAACCCCCAGCTCAGCCGCTGTGACCCCGCTTTCTCCTCGTCTGGGGGAGGGGCCCTGGCTCACAGGGTTGGGGGGCAGCCTCCCTTCTCAGCCTGGATTCAGTCACCCAATTCAGGGAGCACACAGCCCCAGCACAGAAGGGGTTGGGAGAAGAGGGAGGGACAGAGCGAGGGGAATGTTGGGGTGTGGGGGGTGTTCAGGATGCCGGGGCCCCAAAATCCTCACCCTGAGCGAGGTCCGGCTTCACCCCAACTCCCCAGTATTGATAGTCCCCAAGAGCAGCCCTTTCGGGCCAGAGAAGAATCCCAGTGAGACGCCACATTCATCCCTGAGACAGGGGCCTGGGGACCGTGACAAGAATCACCCCTGCCCCCCTGCCACCCAGGCCATTTTTCCAGCACTTGCTACTTTTCAGGTAATATTTCCAGGCCTGGCCTGGCCCGGGCAGTGGCTCACGCCTGTAATCCCAGCACTGTGGGAGGCCAAGGCGGCGGATCACCTGAGGTCGGGAGTTCGAGACCAGCCTGGCCAACATGGCGAAACCTCATCTCTACTAAAAATACAAAAATTAGCTGGGCGTGGTGGTGGGTGCCTGTCATCCCAGCTACTCGGGAGGCGGAGGCGGCAGAATCGCTTGAACCCACGAGCTGGAGGTTTCGGTGAGCCGAGATCGCGCCATTGCACGCCAGCCTGGGCAACAAGAGCGAAACTCCGTCTCAAAAAATCATCAGACATTTCCAGGCCCCTGACTCAAGAACCCGGCAGACAAGCACAGCACAAGAAAAAGCATCGTGGAACGTCACAGTTAGCAAGTCACTGTCGTGGGGCCACCCCTGGCCCCCTGGGGCCCCGGCATGCGCCCCCCGCCCCCCGCCCCAGCCCAGCCCGCAGCACCTGAGTTCATTGGCTCCGAGGCTCTAGCCCCAGGGATCCGATGTGCTGGGCTCACAGCTGCTCAACGCACCCCCGGAAATGGACAAAGGGACCCAGATTGGTCGTGGGAAAAATAAAAAGGTTATTATTATTTTTTTTT